GTGCAATTAATTTATCTGCTAGTAATCCATGAAACTCATTTAACATCTACAAATGGGCTAAAAATGTCAGCTCATTCCTTCCTTCCAAACGGTAAGGGGAGCTTGAACGGGTCATACCCAGGAAACGGGTATTTCCCCATTTGTCTAATTTCAGACTGCAGTCATTTGTAAATATCTCATAATGTGGCAGCCTTGTCAACCACAGAAGCATTAGTCAACTGGGAAATATCCCAGTGTACCAGCCCATGCCTGGAGAACATTGTGATTGCTGAGTGACTACTAGTCGATGAAGAAACCTATGAAATGCTGGCTAATGCATATTCTTACCTGGTGCATTAGTCCTAGAGTACTCATATAGGGCAAAAGGGACATCCCAATACACTCCCTATTTTTACAAACCTTCCAACTTACTGCAGTCATTTGTAAATATCACATAATGTGGCAGCCTCGTCAACCACAGAAGCATTAGTCAACTGGGAAATATCCCAGTGTACCAGCCCATGCCTGGAGAACATTGTGATTGCTGAGTGACTACTAGTCGATGAAGAAACCTATGAAATGCTGGCTAATGCATATTCTTACCTGGTGCATTAGTCCTAGAGTACTCATTTGGGCAAAAGGGACATCCCAATACACTCCCTATTTTTAAAAACCTTCCAACTTGTCAAATGAAAAAAGAGGGACACTTTCATTTTAGTGGTGTGAGTGGAGGGGCTGTTCTGATAAATTTTAGGTGACTTACTAATAACACTTTATGCAACTAAAATGTAATTTAGAACAAGAACAATGTATCTTATTTACACAGACTGATTTCTTAATGCATTTATTGGAGTTTAAAGTCACATTATTGTGAGTATTAGTGCCGTGGGGCTCTGTTATACACTCTGATACACCAACAATATGGAGCCCCTAGAAATATGGACATTAGTATAGAAAAGAGGGACAGAGTGAGTTTGTCCCGAAATATGGACTGTTTCTCCTAAATAGTGACACTTGGGATGAATGTTTTTATAATCAACACAATAATGTTTTTTGAGGCTGGAGCCCACACATACATTTTCAGCCTTTGTAGGTGGCCATTATCTTCAATTACATACACTATATTTACATTATGATACCATTTTAGTAAGCTGTTCTGCTAGTAATGCAATCATGGATCTTACAAATATATCCAAGCATATTTTGCTGTTATACAACCATTATAGACTTCATGTGAAATATTTGAAATATTGCAAGATGTAATATATGCAGTATAACATTTTTTATTTCCTAAAAATGTATGTAAAGGATACATCGATAATGGAAATTAAAAAAAAATGTAAATTTACATAATTTTAGTTTTTAAAGGGACAATATAGTCACAAGAACAACTATTTATTGTATTTGTTCTGGTCAGTATAATCAGTCCCTTTAGGCTTTTTGCAGTAAAGTCTTTTCAGATAAAATGCACTGTTTACATCACAGCCTAGGGATAACTCCACTGGCCACTCCTCATATGGCTTATAGAGGTGCTTCTTGGGGAAGTGCTGCACAGTGTCTCCTCCCTCTGCATGCAGACGTTGAACTTTCCTCAAAGAGATGCATTGATTCAACATATCTCTATGAGGAGATGCTGATTGATCAGGGTTGTGTTTGTCTTGTACTGCCTTTGCCCCTGATCTGCCTCATTGGCAGTTTCAGCCAATCATATGGGAAAGAACAACACTTCTGATAATGTCAGCCAAGCAGGCAGATCAGGGGCAGAGCCAGCAAACTTGAACAAAGGTAATATCTTACTATATTTAGGTGGCAAGGGGGAGAAGGGGGGGCTAGATGGTAGTTTTAACACTATAGGGTTAGGAATACATGTTTGTGTTCCTGACCCTATAGTGTTCTTTTTAAGTTTGCCTGACAAGCAATCTATGTACACAATTGCCATTTTATTGTGAGTTTATGTGCATGCTATGCATCCCGTGTTTCAAATAAATATTATGCTAATATTTTTTTTTGAACAGAAAGTACTTTTAGTGAAAACGTTATATAGTAAATTTTATTGAGAATTGATATCCAATTTAATATGATATTTTTTTAATAGAATCCAGCCATTGTGTCTAAACCAGTTCTGTGGCAGTGTTTTAGAAATAGAGCAATCTGTTTATTTTCACATTTGTAGTATTTTTATTTTTAAGTTCTACTTGCTTATGCCTCTCTTAACATACAAAAGGTACTGTGTGTGAAAAGGTTATATATAATAGCACAAAGAATTTTAATTATGTCAATTTATTGATATCGTAAACACTTGAGAAACGTGTAATAAGGTTGGGATAATATAATGTAAACATGTTGAACAAATTCTTTTCATGACTTGCAGTTAGGGATTTTAAAATGCAATAGTATAAAATATTTAAAGCATCCCCTGAAACATAAATCATTATGTAATATAAAAGATGCAGGGATGTGGAGTGTTTTTATATGGCAAAACAATGCAATTGAGACATAAACTATACAAAGTAAGGTCAAGCAGTTTATGATTTTCTTTAGAACACAGAGGCAATAGTATGTTTCTCTTACACAAGGTTCAGTTTTTTGTTTGTTTTGTTAACTGTTCATTTATTGTTTTTCAAGGCCACTAACGCATTAATGTATATTTTTCCAACAATAGAGTTTTACAATAACAAAAAAACACACTCAATCTCACATTTTAGTAAAAAACAAACAATAAATTATTGCTTTAAATGTTATTATACACACCTGTGTAATTTTACCATGTCCACTTGTCTTCTGCATTGCCCATTACTAAGAAGTACTATATGTAAATGTCCAGTGTGTCTAGCAAAGTTAAACCATTTATCAATGCGTTATCAGTGAAAAACTAGGATAAACTCGTGTTCTTGGTCAGTAACCGTGTGGTGTTGAACTTTGAAGGCCAATATTACATGAAAACTTAAATGGCAATTTTGAAAGGTTTGCAATTATATCTCAAGTTGATGGTAGGAGACCTCCAATAATAAGTTGGCTACAACTTCATCTTGAGAACTGTGGAGGACATTATAAAACAACCACTCAAAATGGAGCCGTTTTAAATGTGTCTTTGCTAGCAACCTGGAAAGAGGTCTGACAACCAATAACTCCATACAAGTGAGGGAATAAGAATGTATATGACTGGTGGGGGAATTATGAAGAAGAGAATGAAGAGTAGTAGTGGGGGTGGTGTGGAGAATAGCAAGGGAGGTTGTTGATATACAATCCAAAGGTGTTCTCAACAGTGTTCATGTTCAAATAATGTTGTTACCCCGGATATTTAATTGAGTGTGTGGTGATGTTTCCCCATTAGTCCTCTTTCCAGTTATTCTAGCCTCAGTACACAGATTGCAACAGGTTAGGGGATAGTAGGGATGCTGGAAACCTATAGCGCAGGCTTTGCTGGAAAAAAAAAATTATTGAAAGCTATGGGAGATACATCTATGGTTGAGGAATCTCAAAGAAAATTTTCAGTGTGAAGCAAGATGATCCTAGTAATGAGGATGAAGATAACCATTAGTATGAGGAAGTAAATGGTGAGTTAAATAATTTATTAGATGACAAAAGATTATCTTTAAAAATGAGGGAGGCAGCTGATGATGGAAGAAAGCTGTTGGAAAGTGATGAAACAGATTATTATGCAGGCAAGGGATAACCCTAAATAGATAGCTTGCACATAAGCTAACTACCCTTCAAAAAGGTGCTAATGAAAGTATGATGAACTGTGATATATTTGCAATAAGAAATGCAGGAGAAACCTTAAGTGATGGATTGCTGAATGCGATGATTTTGAAGATTCCCTGAATCATTTAAACAGTTTGCCATCCACATAATGCAGGGTTATGGAAAAATACTTTTTGTAGCTTTCAAAACACAGCTGTGAAGTTTCGAATATACTAAGAAATACTGTGTGAACTCAATTGATGATAGAATCTTGAAAGCAAGTAATGTGACTCGTAGGTCTTTAATGAAGGATTACTCTAATATTGTTTGTTGCAACTGCTGGCAAAGAGTGCCATAGCATGCTCAAACAGTCAAAATAACAACCATTCACAGTGGTGTAATTATTGTAGTAGCCCACCGCACAGAGATGCAAACTGTATGTGCAAGAAGAGAGATGATGTCAAATAAGGCAGATAATGATCACCAGAGACACTCAGATGTCTTCAAAATCAGAAATTACCTACTTGATGGCTTGGTAATAAAAGGGATAATGGTCAACACAGGGGCAACAAGGTTTAAATGTTTTGATAACACCTTTAATCTAGAGAAACAAATTACAGAGTTTGCAGATGGAAAAAAGACATCAGGTGTGGCATTGGGGAGAGGTGATGCAGAGATTTAACGGCTTGACAGTAAAGGAAATCCTATGCTTGCAACTCTGAAGAAAGTGTTGGATATACCTTCATAACCTCGAGATATCTTCTCTGTAGAGGCAGCAATACAAATAGCATATCAGTTAACTTTAAACAAGGTAGAAGTGAACTGATTTGTAAGAACAGCATCAAATTCATATTCCAAAAACACAATAGATTAAATACTTTGCTGAAAATGAAGATTGCAGTCATGGATGTTACAATATTTAAACATGGCATACATTTTTTGGTTACCATAAGTATGATGACATTGCAAAGTTACATAATGTTGTAGAAGGAATGAAGATTAAGGATAGTGTAAAATTGATAAGTCTGATGTCAGAGCCCCAGCAGCACTAGAACTGGTGCACACAGACTTGGCAAATCCCATAGAACCACAAGCTAGAGAAGAGTTCAAATATGTAATTTCATTCACTGATAACTACTAGGAACAGTGTTTTCTATAATTCCCAAATAATGAGAGGGCTGTTAGTCAATGAGAAGTTCATTTGCGAACACAGCCCTGTATGGAAATAAAGTGTAAAAGATCTGACAACGGTACTGCGTTCATGGCTGTTAGTTTTCAGTCACTACTAAACAAGGTTTAGACATGAGACCTTAGCACTTTATTTGAAATGGCAAGATGTCTGTTAATCGAAAGTAAATTGCTAAAGGAAGTATGGACATACACTGATCATAAGTGATGGGTTATATTAGGCAGAAAGTGAACAGTCAGTTCACTTGAATTTCATGTGTTGGAAGCAGGTAAAATGGGCAAGCGAAAAGATCTGAGTGACTTTGAGAAGGGCCAAATAGTGATGGCTGAACAACTTGATCAGAATATATCTAAAATTGCAAGTGGGGTGTTCCTGGTATGCAGTGACTTGTACCTACCAAAAGTGAAGTGATGCAAGGAAGGACAACCAATAAACTGATGTCAGGGTCATGGCTGCCCAAGGATCGTTGATGCACGTGAGTAGTGAAGACTAGCCCATCTGATCCAATCAAGAAAAGTTACCATAGCTCAAATTTCTGAAAATGTAATGCTGGTCACGATAGACAGGTCAATGTGTGTCTGTGTGTATATCCGTGTATTTGCATGTATGTCAGTGTGTACCTGTGTATCTGCATGTGTGTCAGTGTGTGTTCATGTGTATATGTGTGTGTGTGTTTATGTGTATTAGTGTGTGTTTCGGAGTGTGTGGTAGTATATACACACTACACAAACTCACACACATACTACATACAAAAACATACTTATATTCAAACACACAAACACTGCTTAGTACTAAATATGACCCTGCAAGGATGGGCAAATTGCAGATCCCAGCTGGCAAAGCAGTGTAGGATGTGTAAGACAGATGGGGATCTACATTTTGGCCACACTTGTGCTAGTGAGGGAGGGGCGATTCTTGCACCTGGGGCCTCTCCATGTTAGTTCTACCCTTGTGGGCCCCCTGCATTCTGTATAGTGAAGAGGGGGCCCAGTACACAAGATCTTCAGCTTTCAGAAGATCTCTCTAACTCTTGTGAACACCAGGTTTTGGAGAGTTGGTGCTGCTGAATGCTGAAGATCATGTTGGCTGGGCCCCCTCTTCCCTACACAGCACCAGGCAGCCTGCACAATGCAACCAGACCCCCATGGAGTGTAATGGAGGGGTGAATATATTAATAAGTTAATTATAAAAAAAGGTAAATTACAAAAACAAAACTTTTTCCCCCCGCAAAATGCAGCCACTATCCTACTCCACATATATACTCACACAGTTTGCCTCTACTACAAAATCACACACACACTGCATTCACTACACACAGACACACTGCATCCACTACACACACTGCATCCACTACAAACACTCCATCCACTACACACACTACATCCACTACGCACAAGCAATGTATCCACTACACCTGCATTAAACACACACCGCATGCACTTTACACACACTACATCCACTACACAAATGCATCCACTGCATCTTCTACACAAACACACTGCATTCACTACACACATTCTGCATTCACTCTACACACACACACACAACCACTACAGTCTTGTGGGTGGACTTTTGGTTGGGCACTATGGGTGGACTCAGGGGCGGGTCCTGTGGGTGGACTCGCGGTGAGTCAACATTTCTGATGGCAGGCCTGGTCTTGACCTTCAAAGACCAAAGAGCTCTGGTGAATATCTGTGCAAAGTGCTGGAGCAACAAATCCAATCCATGGAGGTCTCTTGCAGGAATTAAAGGATCTGCTGCTAATGTCTTTGTGCCAGACACCACAGGTCACATTCAGAGGTCTTGTGGAGTACATGCCATGATGCATCAGAGCGGTGTTGGCAGAGGGACCTATATGATATTAGACAGGTTGTTTTCAGGGATACTATAGGCATCAAAATAACTTTAGCTTAATAAAACAGGGGTTTTTTTTCTTTTCTTTTTTAAATATTCTTGTTATTTTCATTTTGCATATTACATTGGTACACTTTGTGACATTAAAATCAGATAAATCAGTATCATGCGTTATGCACTTACGAAAAGGTACAGGAATTGAAGCAATACGAACATAGTTACAAATTCTGAATAGTGCATAAGTGTTCCTTTTTGTTAGCAGTTGTACTGGTGGTAATAGCCTGAGATTGTGTATAGGTGGTGGAGAATTTCTATGATTTGGCAGGGGGGGGGTTTCATTTTTGGTGTGATTGTTATATCAACAAGTATTGTATGGCTGTCGTATCCTGCCGGTCATTTACTTGGATTCAGTAGGCCTGCTTAAGTTACGTTAGGAACAGCAACATTGAACATAAACCAGAAAATTAGCCAATTGTGTGTAGCAGAAATGCTGTGTATTGATAGGACAGTCCATTCTGGTGAGTGTAGTTAGGGGTGTTATGGAGCTGATCATAGGGTATCTTGTTTCTTGAGTTGGGGGAAATGATTGGAAGAAGTGTAGTTGGAGGCCTAGGAGGAAGTTGGGGTTATGTGCGAGTGGGTATAGTGGGGAAGGGTGTGGAGAAACATCTGGGAGGTTCCTATAGCATTCCTATAGCATGTTCCACCAGCTGTTTGAGATTCTCACTCAAATACCTCTTTATTTCCTTTGTATTTTACCAGTAGCTGCTTCTCTCTGTTAACTCTCTTAGCCATCACCTCCAAATTTCCCCCACTACCTCTTGTCTCAAATCCCCATTGTATCCTTTAGATTGTAAGCTCACGGGATCATCTAGCTAAGCACTTTGTATAAAGAGCTACAATGGCTAGATATCAGCTTACGGGCAGGGCTCTCTCTACCTCTTGTATTTGTCTGCGTATATTGTACGTTCTTCACTAATTATACAGCGCTGCAGAATCTGTTGGCGCTTTATAAATACCAGTAATAAATAAATAAATAAATAAATAAATGAATAATCCTTGACCAAATGCATAGTGTGGGGATGATTGTACGATGCTGGGAATGTTGTGGCAAGAGGAGTCCCTTTATGGTGCCATGGGATGGTATAGAAAGGTGATTGGAACATTGAGTTTTCTATGTATACTCATTGTTTAAGTGGTGGATCGGCCGTCCACTCCTAGATTCTAGTGAGTGCTATTGCTCTATGGTTCCATGTGCGGAAGACCCAATCCTCCTTGGTTTTTATGTCTGGTTAGGACTGCGTATGCTATTCTGGGATGCTTGTTGGCCCAGATAAATGAAGTGAAGAGGTGTTTAAGCTTGGAGAAGAACAGTGGGCATATGTCAACTGGGAGGGTTTGTAATAAGTATAATCAGTTAGGTAGTTTGTTCATCTTAATTATGTTGATTCTACATAGCCAGCCAAAGTATGGCTTTTGCCATCTTGTGAGATCTCTTTTATTAGTGGCATAAAGTTTAGGCTGTATGTTTGTTTAAGATTTCTGGTTAAGTAGACTCCCAGGTATGTGATGTCCTGTGTAGCCCATGTGAATTGGTAAGAGGATTTTAGGTATGTTCGTGAGTGGTTATTAATTTGGCAGGGGTGGGGGAGTATTTCATTTTTGGTGTGATTGACCTCAAAGTTGGAGATTTTGCTATATGTGGAAATGTATTTGAGCAGTGGGGGTAAAGAGGTGGCGGGTCAGTAATAGTGAATAGAAGATCATCCGCAAAAGCAGAGATCTTGAATTTCTGTTGTGGGACTTGGAAACCGTGTATTTCTGAGTGGTCTCTAATGCCTTGCAGAAAGAGTTGTACGGTTAAGATGAATAGTAAAGGTGAGAGGGGGCACCCCAGTCTCATGCCATTACTGATTTTCACTGATTCGGACAATTGGCTATTGATTCTAAGTTTTGCTGTTAGGGTGGAAAAAATGGCTCCTATCCATTTCATCCAGTTCGGGATGAAACCTAGGGCTTGGAGAGTGTTGATTAGCAGTGTCCAGTCCACTCTGTCGAAAGCCTTTTCGGCTTAGACAGAAAGTAGTAGGCTCTGTTTCTGGTTAGTTTGGGAGATGTGTATGAGGTTCAGCACTTTGGTGGTGTTATGTTTGGCTTTGCAACCTGCTACAAGCCGGATTGGTCTGTGTGTATTAGTGTTTGGAGAAGAGGTTTTAGGTGATTGGCTAATATCTTTGAAAAAATTTTAAGTTTACATTGATGAGCGAAATGGGGCAGTAGCTGCTGCATTCAGTCAGGTCCTTGCCAGGTTAGACTAAAAACAATAGACAGAACGTATATAGAAGAGGATAAAGGTCTAGCTGACTGCCTCAATTAATATTTTTGTTCAGTATTTACAGATGAAAATGAAGGAAAGGGGCCTCAGTTAGGAAAAAGGACAAATGAGACATTTGTTACATGTGAGTTTACAGAGGAAGAGGTTCTATTTCAACTGTCAAAAGTAAAGACTGATGGAATACACTCAAAGTTATTAAAAGAGCTTAGTGGTGTACTAGAAAAACATTTACTTAACCAATCATTGTTAACAGAAGTAGACCCAGAGGATTGGAAGTTAGTGAATGGTGTGCCCATTCACAAGAAAGGTAGTTGGGAGGAGTCAAGCAACTATAGGCAAGCCTTACTTCAGTAGTGGGGAAAGTAATGGAAACCATGTTAAAGGGTTGTAGTCAATGGAGTATATTTAAAGCATGGGCTTGTCACCAGTGGGGTGCCTCAGGGATCTGAACTTGGACCCATTCTTTTTAATATTTTTATTAATGATATTGCAGAAGGTCTTGATGGTAAGGTATGTCTTTTTGCTGATGATACTAAGATATGTAACAGGGTTGATGTTCCAGGAGGGATAAGCCAAATGGCAAATGATTTAGGTAAACTAGAAAAATGGTCAGAGTTGTGGCAACTGACATCTAATGTGGATAAGTGCAAGATAATGCATCTTGAACGTAAAAAACCAAGGGCAGAGTACAGAATATTTGATAGAGTCCTAACCTCAACATCTGAGGAAAGGGATTTAGGGGTGATTATTTCTGAAGACTTAAAGGTAGGCAGACAATGTAATAGAGCAGCAGGAAATGCTAGCAGAATGCTTGGTTGTATAGGGAGAGGTATTAGCAGTAGAAAGAGGGAAGTGCTCATGCATTGTACAGAACACTGGTGAGACCTCACTTGGAGTATTGTATGCAGTACTGGAGACCGTATCTCCAGAAGGATATTGATACTTTGGAGAGAGTTCAGAGAAGGGCTTCTAAACTGGTTCATGAATTGCAGGATAAAATTTACAAGGAAAGGATAAAGGAACTTAACATGTATAGCTTGGAGGAAAGACGAGACAGGGGGGATATGATAGATAGAAACATTTAAATACATAAAGGGAATCAACACAGTAAAGCAGGAGACTATATTTAAAAGGAGAAAAAACTACCACAACAAGAGTTCATAGTCTTAAATTAGAGGGGCAAAGGTTTAAAAATAATATCAGAAAGTATTACTTTACTGAGAGGGTAGTGGATGCATGCAATAGCCTTCCAGCTGAAGTGGTAGAGGTTAACACAGTAAAGGTGTTTAAGCATGCGTGGGATAGGCATACGGCTATCTTAACTATAAGATAAGGCCAGGGACTAATGAAAGTATTTAGAAAATTGGGCAGACTAGATGGGCCGAATGGCTATTATCTGCTGTCACATTCTATGTTTCTATGTAACTCGGTGCTCCCTCTTTTTTTTAAAACCATCACTTTGTTTAAATGCTTACAGCTAAATTCAAAATAAAAAACCTTGGAAGAATCAAACATTCCCTAGGCTATGACTTCAAACAAAGTGATGGTCTAGTAAAGGTGAACCAA